ATAGTGTTTTTAATTTATGTAATTGTTTTTTCTATATTTAATTAACTAACTTTATATGATGGTTTATTATAGTTTTCTTTTATGTGCAGCCCATTTCAAAACCGGTTTAATAAATATGTTGCAAAACAAGCATTAAGTTATATTTGAAAGATTATTTTTGTGTTCTACCAGTGTAATTCTTAAGACTACATATGCATTTGCAACTAACCATTTCGTACAACTTTAATTTCAACACCGGAGCATTATTGATGCAGGCCATGGTGTGTAGGACCATACCCTATTCGTTATGGAAGCCCATGACCAGGCTAACAAATGGTGTATACGCTTAAATGCACATAACTTTTGTGCGAGACTCTATTTTAGGTTCATAATATATCGATTCGAAGCTTAAAACGAGGAACACTCTCTGGGAAAGTGTTTGTAGAATCAACAGGATCAACTTTCATTCATTTATCGTACGTTGCATCAATTACTTTTTACAAGTACATTCAACGGCTTACATTGTATTTTATTAGTTGTCAATGAATTAACAAATCACAGTTTCATCTCAAATAAATTACATATTTATTTTCTAATAATACATTTTTGTCATCGCACAACGCGCGATACCACCCTCTAATTTAGTCTTAAATTTGATTGCGTGTTCTCAGTTTATCGATTTTATTATAAAAGAAAAATTAAAGAAATCAAGAAGTGAATTAAAGGCGAAGAGAAGTCGATATATTCTATAATTAATATATTAAAGGCGAAATCAAGAAGCGTACTCGCATAATACAGCGAGATACATCGTAATTTTAATATTTCATTTTATTCTTTATCTCAGTCGATGTTATAATATGGCTTTATGTGATTTTGAGAAAACGATGATATTTTTATTTTTGAATAAAATATATGTTTGAAGATATCATAAAAATTTGACAAAAATATATCGATATTAGTATCAAATTAACTATTTGAAATTCCTCATTTTTTTGTGTAATTTTTTAATTCAATTTTTTTATAATTTAATTTATGTACAATAACGAAGTAATTTATATTTGGTTCAATAATATAATTTTTTTATAAAGATAATAATTATTTAATTTGTTGGAACTCGATAATTATTCTAATTATATTTTAGATTTTTTATATTTTAAAATGAGATGTTCATCATTTATTTGATTATGTTTATCCGCAGTTAGTTATACGAATTCAAAAATCGAGCTTTGATAAGTTGTACTTTTGCATAATTTACTTGTAATCTTGAATTTTAAGTAAATATTGGTTTTATTATCTACAGTTAGTTACACGAATTCAGATATGGGATGAAATCGGATAGGGATGAACGAGTTTAAGAGTTTTTAAGAGTTTTAGCCAAATGTTTTATAAGATAGTATAGATTATAAAAACGCTTTATGAAATTAAATTAATAATGATTTAATTTTAGAATGAAAAATTGTTTCAACGTTCGTAACACTTTAATATATTTTGTTAGAGTTCCACATACGAATATTCCCTTTGATGTATTATTATTTGTTTTCGTCAATATTATAATACGGTTTTATGTGATTTTAAGAAATCAATAATGTTTTTATTTTTATATGAAATGTAAATTTGAAGATATCATAAAATTTTGAAAAAAAAAACGTATTGATATTGGTATCGGATTAACTATTTAACATTCTCGTTTTTTATGTAATTTTTGTAATTCAATTTTTTTTATTACAAAGTAATTTAGGTTTAATAATAAACTAATTTATTTTTGGTTTAATAATATATTTTTAATAAAAATAGTAATTAATTATTCTGTTAGAACTCAAAAATTATCCTAATTATATTTTAGATTTTTTATATCTAAAATAAGATGTTTATCATGTATTTGATTATGTTTATCTGTAATTAGTTACACGAATTCWAACATGAAGCTTTAATAAGTTGTACTTACGCACAATTTACTTGTAACCTTGAATTTTAAGTAATATGCATTGACAACAAGTATTTCATGCATTAAAAATAATTTTTAAGAGTTTTTTATAAATTATTTTATTCGTTTTATAATATAGTATAGATGTTGGAAACTCCTTCTCCCCTTTATAACTCTTTTACATAATAACCTAATTGAATTTCACATATTCTGACATGGTTAAAGATGCAAGGTCTACAATCTAGGAATTCTTTGCTCGGGACAATATTACTCATCCAGCCTCTGTTGAAGGGGACACCTTAGAGTTCTACATCGACTAGACTCAGAACTCTCTTCAATATTTGTTGGAACTCATTTCTTTTCTCAAGAACTCTTTTAGGGGTCGTTTATCAAACGCTTACTCGGGTAAGTTAATTAACACCAAGTCACATTACCTTACCGGATGAATATGGTAAGGATCAAGAATCTTACCCGGTAAGAACGAGACAAGGACCAAAAGTCTTACCCGGCAAGTGAGGGCAATGACTCTTACCATGGTAAGAGCTTACCAAGTAAATTGTTGCATACGGTACCGTTTTGGTGAACTAAAATCTTACCCGTAAAGTAAATGATAGTGTTAAACTTTACCGGCAAGCGCTTATCGGGTAAATGTTTGGTAAACGGTAGCTTAGAGATTAATTTGATGGTGCTTCATGTACTCCCACGTATTTTAGATGATATTTAAGCCCTCTAATCAGTTTCATTTTTTTATCTGATTTGCCATCAATAACTTATCATTCAAATTGCATGGTTTTCACATAAATGGATTGAAATCTGTAATACTTTTTACCATTTATAAGTTACCGAAATTAACCCCCCTTTTTTCATAAGGAATACTCAAGAACACAACAATAACAAAAATTCCAATATTTTTTTATTAAATCGAAGATTTCGTGGTTTTTTCCTCTAGAAAAATCTATAAATCAGATAGTTACCATCATACACTAGCAGTTGAAAATCATCATTTTATGAACCGCTTGTTTGAAAATTTGTTAACACGTTAAATTTATTAATTTTCTAAAAATAATAATAATACTGAAATCTCAAAATACAAAACCAGTTGGAAGTAAATATATTGTTATTAATCTTGTGGGGTTAGCTTAACTAACAATAAGGTTTGTGTCTTTGGAATTTTTTTTCTTCAGAATTCACATATTTAAATCCTTCATAACCACTAGGGATTTCCGTAGCTATTCTCCAGGGCTCTTGGATTAGTGAAGGTGCAAACAAAGTAGCCTGGACACCCGTAGTTAAAAAAAATTCATACTCACTCGTTTCCAAATAAGTTTCCACATATAATTACTTTAGTTTGTCCAAACAACTTGTGTCCACCTTAAAAATTAAGGAGCCGTTTACCTAAATGCTTACCTGGTAAGCGCTTATCTTTGGGAGTTAACACTGCAATTTATTTTATCGGGTAAGATTGTAGTATATCAAAATGGTATCGTATGCAACAATTTACCCGGATAAGAGTCGTCACCCTCACTTATCGAGTAAGACTCTTCATCTTTATCGTCGCTCTTACCTGGTAAGATTTTTGACCCTTGTCATGTTCATCCGTTAAGAAAAACTATCCAATAAGAACTTACCAGGTAAACGTCTAGTAAACAACCCCTAAATGTCTATTTTCCCATTCTACTCGTGATCATGTGATGAAGAAAAAAAAATTATCAAGAAGGATAAAAGTGTCATTTAGTTAATTAAAAATGTATATCATTTTGATTATGAACAATTATTTTAGAACGAAACAAGTATTATTTTAAAATGTATGAAAAAAATCAGAAAAATTAGGGCAAAATGCACAAAATAGCAATCTACTTTCATAAATTTTTTTATTATAACATTGTACTTTCAGTTTTTCTTATTACAGCAATGTACTTTCAGTTTTTCTTATTACAGCAATGTACTTTCAAACTATTTTTTATTAGGACATTGTACTTTGAAAAATTTACCCATTATAGCATTGGGTAACCTTTTGATTTAAATTTACCCATTATATTAGGTTTTCATGCCACCTCATTGTCGACGTAGGTTGTCCACATGTACTATAGTGATGTGACTTTCTTACTACATCACTGTACTTTAAAAATTATTTTATTATAGCATCTACTAGTTCTTATTAAACATGGTATTTTTAATTTTAATATTTAGATATTTTACATATTATTTAATAAATGTATTAAATGAAGTAAAAAATTCTAAATTATTCATTAATATACCAATATCAATAAAATTAGTAGAACACAACTTATCTCGCTAATATTTTTAAAAAAAAAAATGTGTTTTTTGAAAAAAAAAAGAAAAAAAAAAGTTGTTCTTTTTTTACCAAAAAAATATTATCTTTTAAAGAATATATTATATTTGTTCAAAAACTTTTTCCTTGACGTATAAATATATTAAATTAATTAGATTTTTTTGAATTATTTATTAATATAACAATATTAAAAAATTGTAGATAACAATTTATTTCGTTAATATTTTAAAGAGAACTTTAAAAGATATGTATTTATTTGAATAACATAAAATAGGAAAAGTTACATTTTTTACAAACAAAATATATCTCGAAAATAATGTTTTATATTTATTTAATAAATATTTTACTTTAAGAATATTTAATTTGAATGCAACTTAATAAGAAAAAGTAAAAAAAATTAAATGTTTTTTAGATTATAGCAATGAAAAATGAAAATCACTAATAATAATTTGAAATAGGTTTGTATTTTAATTTTAGTTAGGTCATCAAAATGATGTGTCATCCACATCACCTCATTAAAGCCACACAAGCAAAAAAGTCAAAGGGTTAACCGGTTTAAAAGATAACAGGTTACCCATTGCTATTATGAGTAGATTGTTTAAAGTACAATGCCTTAATAAAAAATAATTTAAAAGTTCATTACTGTAATAAAGAAAAACAAAAATAAAATGTCATAATAAAAAAATTTATAAAATTAGGTTGTTATTTAACCCGAAAAATTACACTTGTAAAGAAAGCAATGTTGATTGAGAAAAAAATGGGATCGGTTGAGTTGAGAACCGATTAAACCGGAATCATGGCGATGGTCAATACTCGCCGGAGTTAGCGGTCGGCCATGAATATTTCCTTCTCGCATCATCTCTCTCTCTCTCTAAAAAGCCTAATTCGCTTTGCCTGATTTTCATAACCATTCTCTCGATACCATTATCATCATAATCTCTTCTAGGTAAAATCAATCTGTTTTCTCAATTACCAATTGGATTCATTCTTAATTTTGTTTTTCAATTTCGTTGATCTTTTCAGTTTGTTTGAAGCTGATTTTGCTGTAAATGATTGGCATTGCGATTGTTGTTATCCTTTCTGATGATTCTGATTCCATAAATCTATGTATTTGATTGATCTTATGCTCTTGGTTGTGATCACCACTTCGATGAAATTTTCTCGTGCCTGTCGATCGGTAGTGCGGGTATACACACACACACACACTCATATCTATATGGTGTTCTTATATCTATATTTTATAATTCCTAATAACTTTGATTTTTCAGATTTGCTTATATGATTAATATAATTCTTGTACCTTTTTGGATTACTGTGTTGTTGATGGAAGTGAATCAAACAAATCACTTGTGATACCGACTTTCATGATTCTAGTTTGTCCTTGTTGAAGCATTTAAGATTCTGGTAAGACCAAATCAGTCGAAATCGCCTCCTTTTCGAACCAGAAACTGATTGAAATGAGACCATGGACAAAAGATATGATACTTTTATACGTATACTTTTCAGCGTATAGTGGTAAAAGAACTATTTTATTTGAAATGAGACCATGGACGAAATTGATGTAGGCAGTTTATTGAAAAAGTCATTTAGTAAACAATCTTCATTTGTTCATCTTTGATTCTAAGAGGTTTATTTATATGTATATTTAGGGTAGTCATGATTGATCAAGCACAACATCCAAGTGTATCCCAGAAGCTAGCTGGGAGTCTTCTTGGATCTAACATGATGCAGTTCCATGCTTGTGAAACTGGTTTACAGCAGCCACATCTCTATCGTAGGCATTTCGGCAATGAAAGCCACACAGATTCTGCCTTTCGATATCCGATGAAGCCATCATCTTCGATATGCATTCAAGCCCCATCAGAAAAAGGTTTTGCAGGATTTGCCATTGATTTCCTTATGGGTGGAGTATCTGCAGCCGTATCAAAAACAGCTGCTGCTCCCATTGAACGTGTGAAGCTTTTGATTCAGAATCAGGATGAGATGATTAAGGCCGGTAGGTTGTCTGAACCATACAAAGGCATTGGTGATTGTTTTGGTAGAACCATCAAAGAAGAAGGTCTTGTTTCATTGTGGAGAGGAAACACTGCTAATGTCATTCGTTACTTCCCAACCCAGGCTAGTAATCTTCAAATCTTGATAGTTTGATTGATTTATATAACACTCAATATTCCATTGAGTTCTTATGTTATTTTGGAAATCCAGGCCTTGAACTTTGCATTCAAAGATTACTTTAAGAGGCTTTTCAACTTCAAGAAAGACAGAGATGGCTACTGGAAATGGTTTGCAGGAAACTTGGCATCTGGAGGTGCAGCTGGTGCTTCTTCCCTGTTTTTCGTTTATTCGCTTGACTATGCCAGAACCCGTTTGGCCAATGATGCCAAGGCTGCAAAGAAGGGTGGAGGAGGGAGACAGTTTAACGGTTTGATCGATGTCTACAAGAAGACACTAGCAACCGATGGTATCGCTGGACTTTATCGTGGGTTTAACATTTCGTGTGTTGGAATCATCGTCTACCGTGGTTTGTACTTTGGATTGTACGATTCTTTGAAGCCCGTCATCCTCGTCGGAGACTTGCAGGTAATCATGGTCTACTTTGTGTCTTCAAACCCAAATTACATAGAGTTAGGACCACTTTAAAAGGGTTTATGCCCATGAGATTGAAACTTTGGCATTCAAATATAAATCTTGATGATGGAGTGTTCTTGGATGCATTTATTCAGGATAGTTTCTTTGCTAGCTTTGCACTTGGTTGGGTGATCACGAATGGTGCTGGACTTGCATCGTACCCAATCGACACAGTGCGCAGAAGAATGATGATGACATCTGGGGAGGCGGTGAAATACAAGAGTTCCATGGATGCATTTACTCAGATCCTGAAGAACGAAGGCGCAAAGTCTCTGTTCAAGGGTGCGGGTGCCAACATTCTCCGAGCCATTGCTGGTGCGGGTGTACTCTCTGGTTACGACAAATTGCAGCTGCTCATCTTCGGCAAGAAGTATGGATCAGGTGGTGCTTAAGCTTCAACGTTTGAACCCCTTTACGATGACCAAGAGTTTACAAGATATTTTAAATTTTATTATAATAGTTTTAATAAATGCGTGCTTTCTCTCAAAGGACCGTTGTCGATTATGACCCATACTCGATGGTTCTTGCAAATTATTTTATATTTTTTTATTTTTTTTTTTGATACATCTTGTACTACATTATTTTGTGGCATGCTTATTGCCAATGCATGAACATGACTTTCTTATTTCCAATCCATGATTTGTTGTTCAATAATTCAGTTATAAGTTCAAACACACTGACGTGTTGCAACGGTTGATCACCCTTATTGTCACGCACACCTGTTAACCATTTCATTAGGCTATACATCTGCCCTTGTTATGAGTTGCATAAAACGAATTTATATGCTTTATTCAGGTACACACCTCTCGTTGATCAAAACGGCACTATACGTATACACACACACACAAAGAACTCACCCTTTGAAATAAACAATTCTTAAACATAGTCAACATCATGCTCTCATGTAATAAACAATATCAACACGACTAGCAAATGGTCGTTTACCACAAAATAGTAGGAGGAAAGTCACCTGAGATCCAAGCCTAAATATGCACCCTTAGGTAGGATCGCACCAACCGAATACCTAAATTGAGCCACTCAAACAGTAAGTTAATACCCCAATAACAACCCAATTTGAACCGCTAGCAATCCCCTAAGACAAGGACCAAAACACTGCCCCAAACCTACCCCTACACAAAAAACAAAAACGGGGACACAATGAGTTGCGCGACCTAGCATGCGGCCTAGGTTGCAGAAATACCCGTGGGACTCACTATCTCCCCTACATCTTTCTTGTTCGAGCTGCATAGCTCCAAGCAATTCCTCATCAATTTCCACTCCAAACAACATACGTAGAGACTCTATAATCAACATATGGTACTTCATACCTTTCTTACCTATCTAACCAACCAATCTATGGATTACAATCCAAATGTTATCGATTCAAGAAGTTTGCATAAAGTTATGATTCAATTGACGATAGGGAAATTGATCTAATCCAAATCCTCAGTTGGAGTTCAACACTCAAAAGGTTTTCCACTTCATAAACCATTTTCTAAACCTAAATCATTCCAACACAAAATTTAATCATCACTAGAGAAGGAAAGCATAAGAAGAAGATGATCTCACCTGACATTGATCCCCAAACCTCTTGAATCCCCTTCTCAAATCTTCAATTTGCTCCTCCTTTACACCACCTTCACTTCCACGATCATGCACGCACGCACGCACACACACATACCTACTAGTCTTTCAACCAATCTAAATGAGGGGTACCCTTTGTTCTCCAATTTGCACTTTTAGTCCCTACAATTTAGTGCTATATTTCAACTTCATCCTTCAACATAATTCATTTACTTTATAATTGAGGGGTACCTTTGAAAGGTATCTCATCCTCCCCGTCTTTTTATATACTCAACGCCTTTTTCCAATCTATGGTTTCTCTACCAACGATAACCAAATAACACCACAATTCAAGATTTCAAAATATTCAATCTTACAGTTCCACATTATTGGTTGCAGTTGTTTTTATAACAATTAGTCTTTTATACCTAGCCCCTACTTCCAATGTATCGTTTTCCAGCAATGTGGGATAAGCATAGAATGCCACAATTTTGAGATATGAAAATACTCAAATATCATGATATCACGTTACTGGATATGTACCTTGTGGTTCTTTTTTTAATAATATAAAAGATTATTTGTCAACTTTATGTCATTCTTTTTTATGTACTCAACTGGTGTGGGATAATCAAATAACACCATCATTCAAGATCTGATAATACAAATGATTCTTGTATAAATCTTTATAAGGATTGATTTATTGCAAAAAAAAAGTTTGCCAATCCAATAAGTTGCTACAGAGCTTTTTAAATTTGTAAGGCATTATGTCATCCCCTTTTATACACTTACCCCTTTCTTCCAATATATCGTAGTTCTATCGAAATGGATAATCAGATAACACCATAATTCAAGATTTGAGAATACACAAATCTTATGGTGCCATATTATTAGCTTCGACTGTTTATTTTATAATATAAAGTATTTTACATCTTTTGGTGTAAATACCAATTTTTCTCAAAGCCATTACAATATTTCTTACATCAAAAAGGGATATTCTTATGATATAGTTTTTCTAATTAACAATCATATATTTACCCATAAGGCTCCAAAAGTTGTATCTTATCGAGTGGACTTATCAGCATCACGCACTTTACAAAGTATATATATTCACAAGTTTTTTATTCTTACAATAACTTGATATATTACATTACTATACTATTTTAACCAACTAAATTGTTCATAATTAATTACAAATTAAATAATCTTATTTCCTAAAACCAACATTCAATTAAATAAAAAGAGTTATAAAATAACATATATATATATATATGCAAGAATATTTACGGGCCTTCAAATTTATTTAATCCATAATTGAAAGTAAAAGAAAATAAATTAATTATGTAACATTCCACATTTGCATATAAACGTGTACTTCATATATTAAGAAATACAATTACACCACTTTTCTTCCACTAGTACAATAAACTTATAATATATAATTTATAACTCAAAAATTCCAAAATAATCTTCTTGTACATCACATGTATAAACAACATGTATTCTCAAAATCCACCAGTTAACAGGTTGATTTTCAAAGAGAAGTTTAAGCACATAAGGAAAATAATCACATTTTTCTCTCCTCCTTATCCCTGGACCCAGTTAGATCTGCATTGCATATTTTTAAAACATAAAATGAGGATTAGACCGTGAGGTCAACTGAGAAAACTCTTTCTTTGCAATTACAGGGTAAATATCACCAAATCCTGTTATAAAACTCACATTTGAATACTCAATCACTTTGATAACATATAACTTCAATAAAACAACAACTGCAATTTATAAACACATTTCTTACCACAAAGGATAATATACCCCTCAGGTTTTCACAAACATCTGGAACACAACTTTCAAATTTCATACATATAATATGCTAACAAGTATCAAATAATTATCACATCAAAATCACATAATGAACAGACAGAGCGATGAATGTAGACGTGATCATCAATGGTTTTCAATTATCACAACATTATCACATCACTGTCACAACAAAAATCACAAAGTTATTAGATGATTATCACGTCATAAAAAGTCTTCAACTTATCAAATCATTATCACATGATTATCACGACAAAATCAGATAATTATCACACTATTATCACATAATTATCGACAAATGACACATTGACATAAAAAGTCTCTGATGATGATGATAACCAAATTAAAGAGATGAGAATAAATCTAGGATAACAGAAAATTATGGACAAATACCAATTAATTTTCATTTATTCTAATTTTTATTATTGTTAATTAATTTTGAGGCCCAGAAGTGTTATCATATTTTAGTCGTTTGAACCCTTTCCTAAATAAGGGTGGTTTGCATTTGACCGTATATATATATATATATATATATATAGGAGGTTTACTTTGCAAACCACGTTATTTATACAAACCATACAAACCTCATTCGACCAATCATAATTTTTTATTTTGTTCATCTTTTTGTAATTATGAGAGGTTGATTAATCATTTTTTATTGTAGAGGGTGTTAATCATGAATATTATCATCTTCGTTATTTTAATTTTAAAGAAATACATGAAACAGTTTCATTAAAATTTGATAATTATATATGAAACAACTTCATCAAAAAAATGTATTATATGAAACAATTTCACAAGATTAAACAATTTCATGAATAAAATTAAACAATAAAATCGACAAATAAAAGTGATTTACATGATTTGTACAAATTGAGTGGTTTGTATTTGATTATTCCCCCTCTCTCTCTATATATCCTTTAAACATTGGAATCCATATTATTGGTTTTCAAAATGTGAAGTGAGTTTCTGTATATTTGATTTATCCATATAGGGAAGAAAATTGTTGGAATCGACTATTATCATCCATCACCGTTTTATCACTATTGGTGACTTTTCTCGCAATTTCAATTGGTGCAACGAGATCAATATTCATCCCTATTATCATGTATGTAAATAAATGCATATAATATGTCGTGTAACATATTTTTTTCCTTCTAAAAGTGAGTTGTCTCTATAACGATTGTGAAACGTGATCGGAGAATTTCAAAGACACGTTCTACATCATTTTCATTGACTATGTTTTCATATTAAAAATACATATGTTTGTTTCAGTTAATATGTAATTGGGTTTTACATTATTAGCAAATAACCATGAATTTATACAAGTTGAATACATAAAAATCAAATTTATTTGAAATATATATAAAAATTCAATTTATAGATATATGTGAATAATCTAGAATTTTGTAATGCTATTTGTTATCTTAAAGTTTTATCACAAAATATAATATGAAATAATTAAAAGTAAATTACGGATTTGGTCTCTATGGTTCGGTGGTTTTTATAAAAATGATCCCTAAATTTTATTTATTACAGATTAGGACTCATCGAATGTCATTTTGTAACGAATTGGTCCCTTACTTTAACGGCTATTGAAACCATCCGTTAGAATTGAGGATAGTTCCGTCATTTTACTATTTTGACCTTTTTAACATTAATTTATTTTTGTTTTGACTTTTTTGCTTTTGTCTTTTTCTTATTTTTGTAAAACTCCTTAAATTAAAAGGACCAAACCAGTAAATAACTCTATTATATATGGAGAGAGAGAGAGAGACACATATATATATATATATATATATATTGTTGGGTCACCTATTGATTCGGTGATTACCCATTGATTTGTTCCTCTATCCTATAAACATTTAGTAGTTATTGGTTTCTTTGTATATTGGTATATTGGTACATACTTAAAGCCATTGGCAAAATGGAAGACTAGCCGATGTGAAGACAGAAGATCACCGATGCGATACTGTGGATCAATTATCTAAATTACACACCAAGACTCCAGAGTAGCTGATTTGCAATTTGAAATATTTTAAAGCTATAAGCCGATTGAAGGAATATCTTCATGCACCAAAGATTTGTAAGTAGTTGTTTGAAGCTACTAATCCAACCAAAAAAGATCTTCATATAGACTGACCATATCTCTGCAAAAGTTTGTCTCTGCATGAACAGTGTTGTATGCACACGATGTACGATGAAAATGAGATATCAACAATGGTCAAGTCAACCCCTACCTTCTTATCCTCAGGTGACAAGTGTACCCATGCATTTAATGTTGATTGTAGTATAAAAGACAATATGCATCTCCCATGCAAACTAATACTTCCTTGAAAGATTTCTAAGTGCATCTCAAGGCAATCGACTCTCTCTTCTTTTACTCCCTAGTCTATTGTGTGTGAAAAAAATCTTAATGTTCTTCATTTCCTTGCAAGTACTCTCTGTGTTAATCTTGTAAGTTATTCTTTTTGTAATATTATTTAGATTATATTATCCATTTCTTCTTCCGCAACAATCTGTATTGTATTCCTGTGTGTTAATTCTTGATATTCATTAATAAGAACTAAAAGGTTGAAAAAAATCTATGTAATTGTATTCAACCCCCTCTTCTATAATTACTTCATGTTTATTGTCATCCCATTCAGGACCAACACACATACACACATACATACAATCACATGGACGTCATCCCTAACCTTTTACTCTGGTGAACCTCGACCTCCGTCGTCCCCCTTTCTCTCTATCTCTCTCTCTCTCCCCCTCTTGTTGCAACATTAACCCTCCTGTAACACCCCAACTCCCATTTGCATAAAACATGTATATTTCATATAACATGAAATACAAATGTACACATTGGTCCCAGAATACACATATGGCTACATACAAACTTTATACTAACATAATTACGTGACTTGAGTAACACAAATTCACAAATCAGGTACATATTTAGCATCCTAATAATTCACAGATGTAAAGCAATAACAATTTCCTTCACATCTTTCCCTTCCTTTTACCTTCCATATGTGTCTGATCTCTAATGAATTCCCTTAATTGCAATTACAAGGTGAAAATCACCAAAATACTTTTGAAATGCCAATCTTTGAAAGATAATATGTAAATATCATTTATTATAGCAAACCTTCATTTGTCGGATCATATAGATGAGACAACCCCATTTTATCGTATTAAACAACATAATCACATCTTTTGTCACATCAACACAAGATATACCAAACTTGTCACATATTGTTGATGTGATAACCCCTTTTTGTCACATCATACATATGCGATAACCCAAACTTGTCGCATCTCAAGAATGCAATAAACACTTTTGTCACATCACACTGATGCGATAAACAGTCTTTTCGCTCCCCAAGGATGCAATAACCACAATTCCTCGCATCATATAGATGCGATAACTCCCATTTGTCGTACCTCAAGAATGTGATAAAAGAACACTTTGACTTCAACCCAATCTCATCGCATCAGACACATGCGATAAAATCAATCTCATCGCATCATAAAGATGCGATAACAATAGCCCATGATTAAAATATCATCATTTCCAGAAAATTGAATATGTCATCCTTATCCCAGTATACACCTCTTCTGATTATGTCACCCTTATTTTAAATTATACATTTCTCCTGAATATGCCACCCTTATCCCAATATATACCTCTTCTGATTATATCACCCTTATTTCAATCAGTTGATAACAACATATCAAAATCCAAATTTATGCTAACACATAACAAATAATTATTTCCAAAAACACCACAATCGAAACCATACGGTTTTATAATAAAAGCATATCATGATGCTTGTAAAGTAAAACTCACCTTGTGAACACAAGTAGATGAATACTTTAACAACAACAAATTTATCAAATAAAATCACATAATTAGTTCTTCTTCTTCTTTTTTCTGCTTTTGCTTTATTCGAACCTTATAAAAACCAAAATATCATACACCCCTTTTATTTTTTTCTCTTATCCCCACAACAACGAAAAAGAAGAAATGAATATAATGTTTTAAGGCGATGGAGGTATATCATATTTAAACCTAATTTTCGAAACACCCCCTCAACTTTTACTACATTATAAAATTCCACCCTAAACTTGCAAATTAAATAACCCGGTTATGACACCTCCCCATCCCACTGGTTACTCCACTGATGACAACCGTCGATGTGACCTCTCCTGCTGACAACCACCTTCGTAACTTGTCGCCAACGGTCAAACTGGAACCACCACCACCATCCCCATCACACAGAGACATAAAAAAACATAACACTTTCATTAACAAAGATGGAGAAGTGGGTGTGGAGGGTTTCACCGATGACCAGAAATGTCGGAGATGGAGATATGATCGAGTTGGGTGTGTGTTTATGTGTCGGAGATTGTGCATTGTGTGGTTTACTAAGAGTACATGTGTATGTGTGTGTGTGTGTGTATATATATATATATCATTAGCAAGTGATGTATGCAGGTGTACGTATGTGTGTATGTATGTGTGTGTATATATATATATATATATATATATATATATGTGTGTATATGTAAGATCTTTTGTTGACCAATAATATGATGTTAACTTTGTGAACTTATTGGACCAATAAGATTCACTCTTTAGTAGAGGTTACTTCAAATATTTGATTTAATGATGTAGGGAAAGTATATGTGTAAGTTACTTTTATGGTATTTAATGACATGTTATAATTTTTATCTGTGAGTTACTTTTATGATATTTAATGATGTTCATGGATGTTCATAACCATAAGGTATTCATAAAAATATGCTCATATGTGTTCATAGATGTTCATAAAAATGTATTCATAACCATAATACGTTCATAAGATTGTGTTCATAACCATATCGTGTTCTTAGGTGTACCATACGATTTTTCATAGGTGTTTATATGCTATTATCTTTTCCACAAATACCCATGTCCTATAATGTTCACCAATGTTTATTTTTGTTCAAATTTTCATTTATTATAAATATTCCATGATTTAATCCATATATTTCAAGGATTAAGGGTTAAGATTGATTCACATAGTTAATACCAATTATTGTGTTAACAAAATAATCAACCCCTATATATGTATATCGATGTAACAGGGAGACGATGTACTTTTTCATCTCGGAGTGTTGTGCTTTTGGGTTCTAGTCGTTGGGTTTTCATAATCGTGGGTGCTTTACAGAGGCAATGACGGTGATGGAGGTCAATGGAGAATTTGGGAGGAAGATTGCAGGTTAATGATGGTGGGCGGTGGCCAGAGATGTATGTGCTTCACGGAGACGATGAGCTGTTGGTCCCTTCGGCAAACACAAACTCCACCAACCACCTTCATCAATCACCCCAACGCACATACACAACACACTTAAAGAACACAACATAGTAGTGTTGGGGGAGCTATCTTTGCAGTGGGGCCAAGTTCATGTCGGGGATGTCATCAGAGGTTAGGCTGGAGAGGTTATCGAAGGTTTTGCATGAGGTTTCGTTGGAGCTTCTGTCGGAAGGTTTGAGGTGAGGGGAGGGGAGGGGTGGGGTGGGGTGGGTGTCCGTTGGGGAGAGATAGAGAGTTGATATAAAAAAAATGAAAAGGATTTAGAAAAAGGGTACTATTTTGCCCCTCATATAAATGTAGTTAACTGAAGAAGGTAAGAACCGTTACGGGTGAGGGACCAATCTGTTACAAATAATATACAAATAGTCCTAATCTGTAATGAAACAAAGTTTAGGGATCATTTTCGTAAAAACTACCAATCCACATGAACCAAATTTGTAGAAGTAAACCCCAACGAAAACCTTGGCAAAACCTCAAACGGAACAGGAAAATGGCCCTCCGCCAATTCCGCCGTACACTAACCACCGTCACCACCAAGCTCCCAATTTTATACAACTCTACCACCACCACCTCCTCCGACGATGCCGTTACGCTCCAGCTACTCTCATGGGGGCGAGGATCTTCAGGCCAACTCGGTAATGGCAAAGAAGAATCCCAACTATATCCCTCTCCCATATCATCACTCCTTCTCCCTCCTCTTTCTTACTGTCTACCTTCATCGACCACGTGTGGCAAGATCAATGAAGACCAACTGGAAGTTGGCATTGCCTGTGGATTATTCCATTCTGCTCTGCTAATTGATGGGAAATTATGGATTTGGGGAAAAGGCGACGGTGGTCGTCTCGGGTTTGGTCATGAAAATACTGTTTTCCGTCCGACTGTGAGTTTTTTGAAATCAGTTCGGAGTATTGCTCTCGGTGGGCTTCACTCCATTGCGCTGGATTCGATTGGTCAAGTGTTCTCATGGTCAGTTATTTCATCAATAACTTTATGCATTTTTTGATATAATATAAACTTGAGAAGCTTATATGATACAAACTAGTATAAACTAAATGAATTAAGATTGAAATTGAATTCGTATATCGTTATTGTTCTAGTAAACACATGCCAACATTAAATTATATTGTCGATTCTCTATAGTGGTAGACCTTGGCTTTGATACCTTGTGAGATCATAGATTACTCTCCAAATGAGCCGTTGAGGAGACAAGAAGGGGGGTTTCAATATATATAGCGGAGGAATGGTTCAAGTCTAGCATATGTGAGACCCTAAGAGGGGATACTAATTCTAAAAAATGAGGTAAATTCAATAAGAAGTGCTCATGGTCCTTTTGTTTCAATCATACCATTCATAATTTGTTATTAATTGTGTAGATGAAGATGCAACCCAATAAATGGTGATGAGAAATGGGTTTAAACGCAAGACCTTAACATAAACTAAAGTATCAATCTTGTTAGAATACTCTCAACCTCCTGCCTTATAGTTGCTGTTTGGCACATCAGAACATTCAAGCGCCAAGCTATAAATATTCTACTCACTCAACTAGATGATTTGGAAGCAACCATGAATCACCAAGATAGTTCTTGCCATTGTTGTAGTGGGTATTGCAGCGTTTTGTTTCCCCATTAATTCAAGATGTCAATCCTTATGAGATATAGTATTTAAAATCTCATCCAATTCATATGAATTAATTTTCTAAATTTTCTAAAGTAATTACATAATTGCAATGCAACTAGAGATTTGATAAGGCCTAGAGAAATATAAGCACAAACTTTTGAACTATCACTTTCATTCCTACCATAAAGTCTTTTGCAAGATGATAATACATTAACCTAATAAGTAATAAATAATTACTAACATCTTGGAACAACTATCAAGCACAATAACATCTACTAGGAACTTACTATACCTATTATGATGCTCATCAAAGTTGCATCTTAAGGTCATAAAGCTAATGAAATCCTCCATTGTTTAACTTATGAATGGATAATATAAGCTTTTAGCATAGGGGCTATTTCTACCTGGAAAGTCTTTTTGTTGCTTCAAAGAGCACACATATATTGACAAATTTTCTTCATATATCCTCCCACCTTATGGCAACTAAATATTATCGTCATTATTGAATTCATTCAAATGCGTGGTAGAACTAACATTTTGCACTTGATTTATAAGAATTCAATTGGGCTAAACATCTAATGGAATGTGCTTTTTGGGGGAAGATCTTATATAAGTTAAGTTGTTGTAGAATGATCAATGCTACTTTGAGTTTGTATAGCATACTTCCTTGACCCATTTACCATTTCTAATCCACATATTTAGTCAAATTCATGATATGAGTAATACATTTGCATATGATACAAAATATGTCACCTATTGCTAGAAGTGCCTTATTACCATTTAACAACTTTTCGACAACATTTTGCATCTCCATTTTCCACACTATTAACAAAGTAAGATAATTGTAAATTAATGTTCCACCAAACAAATATAAGAAACCACATCCGAAAATTGTTTATTATATTGTGTAAGAAAAAAATCTTATCTGTCAAACAAATATAAGAAGCCTTTTGATAATGTGGTTGCTTGTTAATGCTTCCCAATTTGTGGGATGCCAACTGGTAAACATTGTTAAATGATAAAAAGAACATCTGTTGCAACTTGCAAATGCTGGTATGTTTCATAGTGATATGTTCTTCATATCATATAGTTGATTGTAGAGAGGGCGAGCAATCTTTAATGTGTTCATGTGGTTGGTCAAAAAGACTATTAGTCATTTCCTTAATAGAATTTCCACTCATCAAATGCTTGTGATCAGTAGTAGGTCCATGTGACTATACATTTTTGCCTTTAAAACAGAGAAGAAAATTTATAACTGTCAGAAAGTTTTCTGGAGCAACAAGCAGACTTTTTGGATTTAAATGCCAACAAGAAATTTGTAACTCCCTACTGTCTATATGATAGTTGTAAATCGAGGGTATGAAGGGATAAGGATGATGATCTTATTAGCTTCTTGGTTTTTAAGATGCAAGTGAAGTTTAATAAATATAATAAGTTGTTGTACTTGATCCTTTTTTAAAGATGTCAATGACGTATGTCTATTTTATAGAAAAACGCAAATAAATCTTTGGTGTTTGGTTGACACACTTATTAAGAAGTTTATGATGGTGATGTCGGGGATTAGTTATGATGGTAATGTTGGCCCATTGATAAAGTATTTTGGGACTAAAGAAAACTCAAACAAGCAGTATCAACTCTAGATTCACTCTTACATATCTATGTTCGTTGGTATACGCACGATCTAAATTATTTTTTTAATGGACTATGTTTGCAAAAGTCACTTGACTTCCATCTTGTGTAGTGGAAGGTTTTTTTGTTGGCATTTGGTGGATGTGGTCTTTCAGAGGTTTTTTGGGGTGACAACGATGCAAGTAGTGGGTTAATAACAATATCACTCTTTACACTATACACATATTCATATTTACATGAAATTTTAGAAATATTCCACCCCCTACCCAAAAAAAAGCAAAGGCTATGAATCAGACGCTATTAATTATGTTATTGCTTCTTGCTTTTGGTACTTTTAAAATCATCTTTTCTTCATCCCACTAATTTTGCTAATTCTTCCTTTTTCTTTTGCTTTTAAGCTACTAATTTTGCTTATTCTTTTGCATTTTTCTCCACTTTGTCCTAAATGCATGTGACTATGGTTTTATGTATTGCTTGTTGTAGAAGTTATGAATAAGAGATAGGAATAATTTACCTCCTTTTTATTTTATCTCGAACTATAGAGAAGCACAATATTTATAGTTGTAGGACTGAAACTACCAGCCCTTTATTCAAAGAAAAAAAATAAACCAGCATTATTCTCCTAACAAACTCTCAAAGAATAAGCCTAAACCTATGTTAGATATAACAACAAAACAGATTCTCCACACTCTCCCTCAAGCTGGGATGTGAATGTTAATCATACCCAGCTTGGATCTTAGTTCTTCAAATCCTTGTCTTGGCAGCGCCTTTATAAGGATGTCTGCAGTTTGCTGTTTTGATGGTAAAAGTTCCAGCTCGTGTTCTCTTGCTTCTAATTTTTCTTTGATGAAGTGTTGATCTACTGCACAGGTTTTGTTCTCTCGTGATGCATAGGGTTCCTTGCTATATCAATCGCTGCCTTGTTGTTGTTGTATAGTTTCATTGGATCAGTAGTAGTATTGCCAACTCTTTCAATATTAGCCATATTCCTTCACAGATTCCATGACGCTTCGCTCTAAATTCTGCTTCTGCACTAGTTGGGTTTCTTGGTGGTGTTACCATAGACTCTGTCTTCAATAGGAAGAGGTTCCCATGCAATTTAGCACTGCCAACATCCTCCCAGAGACTGAGTTCTGAAATTCGCACAAAGTAGAAGACATCTTAGTGGTACAATCGAGATCCTTCATGAGTTTAATAATAGATATTAATTATAGGTAAGGTTAAGGACATAAAGCACAAAGTTGAGAGTAATGTCGTTTGAGATAGTAATCGAACCTATACACTTTATATTTGATAGTAATCCATCAGCAGTTCGAACTCTGGCCCAGTCTTGTTTGGTTGGAGTTTATCAAGTAAGTTGATGTTCCCAGTTATATGGTCTGTGGCTCTAGAATCCACGATCCATTCCCTGGTATTCAACTTTGCATTAAGGGCATTTGGCACATGATCATTCTGAGCAATGGCAGCTGTACCGTACCATTTCCCCTGATTGCTATTGGATTGTGACTTGTTAGGTTGGAGTTTATCAAGTAAGTTGATGTTCCCAGTCATATGGTCTATGGCTCTAGACTCCACGATCCATTCCTTGGTATTCAACTTTGCATTAAGGGCATTTGGCACATGATCATTCTGAGCAATGGCAGCCGTACGGTACCATATCCCCTTATTGCTATTGGATTGTGACTTGGAGCATTCGATGCAAGGATTCTATTTGTTCCTGATTAAAAGGGGTGCTTTCAGTTGTTGCAACATGACCTGACGATCTAGATGGTTGCCTCCCTGGAGGTTTTACATGTATTTTCCAGCAAATGTCCTTTGTGTGACCCGGGATCTTGCAATGGTCACACCAAGGATGATTACCTAATTGTTGACCACAGTTCATTGATGAATCATAGTTGCGGAAGCTGCCTTGTGATGTTCTAGAACCATTGTTGCCCTTTCTAGTTGCTAGATCAGAACCTTCAGTAGTTAGTTGATTGTTCACAGATCCCAACATCACTTTCCTGCGAGTTTATTCTCGACGGACCTCCAAGAAGGCTCCTCTAACACTTGGTAACAAGGTTTTAAAGAACGGAAACGAGCCTTGAGGCTTTTTCCTGTTAGGTACGTGAGGCGTAAGTCTCGAGGCAGTCAAGGCGTAAGCCCCAAAAATTAAAATAATACAATTCATAAATTCATAACACTTGTTAATTATTACAAAGTTTGGTTTACCTTTCTATATAGTTGTGTTAGTATTTCCCCTTTTAGGTTTCTTGATTTTATATATATATTGTAATCTCTTTTAGAAAGGAATGACACAACAATTACCAGATTTGAGTAATAACATGGTATCAGAGCTGATGGAATGCTACATGTCGCTGTAACCCTAGCCACCGTCGCCGGAACTCGCCTAAACCCTAGCCATCGCCGTCATCGGAACTCGCCTAAACCCTAGCCGTTGTCGTCGCCGGAACTCGCCTAAACCCTAGCCGTTGCCTGAAACAGCTGCCGATGTTGGCCATCTTGATCCACCATCTCCACGCCTGCCGCCGCCCTCTGCCACCGTTGCTAATGCCGGCACTACCGTCCTGAGTTTCTAGAAACCATTTCTCAGCTGTTGTGGTATGGCTGTTGGGATAACACCTGAAGGCTGAAGACTCCCCTTTGGTACCTTTCTTTTCCCTTTCTCATTTGTTTTTCCAGAACTTGACTTGTGAACAAGCCAATGAGAAAGGATTTCA